ATCCATATAGACTTCTTCATGTAAGTCACCATCTAGGAATGCATTCTTCACATTTAGCAACCAGAGCAAAAGTCTCATGATAATCTATTCCATGAGTCTGAGTGAAACCCTTTGCAACCAATCTTGCCTTGTATCTGTTGATGCTATTATCTGCATTGAATTTTATTGTAAACACCCATTTGCATCCTACTGCCTGTTTTCCTTTGGGTAGGGTCACTATCTCCCAAGTTCCATTTCTTTCTAAAGCATTCATTTCTTCAAAGACAGCATCCCTCCATTTTTGATCATTGAGAGCCTCATGTATATTTCTCGGTATCTTTGTACTATCCAACATAATATTGAAAGCACGAAACCTTGGGGACAACTTTCCATATGAAATATGATTAGAAATAGGATGAGTAGTACAAGATCGAGTACCTTTTCTGAGAGCAATGGGCAAGTGTAGATCATTTTCACCATGACACTCAAGTATTGGGGTGCTGGAACTAGAACATAGTTCAGAATCCTGGCAGTGTAGAGGCTCTGGGTTATTCACACTTTGAGGAGGCTTTCGCCTGCTATAAACTTGTCCCCATTTTGAGGAGGCTCCTGATGGTGAGGATTTTGTAGCTCCCCCTGTTTCCAAAAGTAGAGGTAATATCGTGGCATCAGTAGGTTCCCATGACTGATCTTCATCTACTCCTATCTCCCCCTGAAGAGAAGTCGAGGGGAAGAAAGGGTCATTTTCAGAAAAAGTGACATCCATAGAGACAAAGACACGTTCAGAAAAAGTGACGAAGAGAGGATGAATAACATTTATAGCCACGTTGAGTAGGAGAATAACCAATAAAGACACACTGGAGAGACTTAGGATCAAGCTTAGACCGTTGATGGGAGGGAATATGGACAAATGCAACGCAACCAAATAACTTGAGAGGTAAGGAGGAGACACCTCGGAAGGAAGGGAAGATACGAACAAGACTAGAAAGAGGAGACTGAAATTTCAGAATGCGAGATGTCATTCGATTTATCAGATACGAGGCAGTGAGAACTGCCTCTCCCCAAAGATATTTAGGAACACTCGTGGTAAACATAAGAGCCCGAGCAATTTCAAGGAGATGTCGGTTTTTTCTTTCCGCAACTCCGTTTTGTTGGGGTGTGTCAGGACACGAGCTTTGGTGAAGGATGCCATGTTGGGAAAGATATTCTCCAAGAATAGAGTTAAAATACTCTTTGCCATTATCTGTACGAAGAATTTGTATAGCAACTTGGAATTGGGTTTGAACCATGGCATGAAATTTTTTAAACACGGATGCAGCATCGGACTTATCCTTTAGAAGATACACCCAACAGACTCGAGAATGGTCATCAATGAAGGTAATGAACCATCGAGTACCTGAAATATTTTTAACACGGGCTGGACCCCATATGTCACTATGAATTAAGGAAAATGGGGAAGAGTCTTTAGAAGGATAATGAGCACGAGTATGCTTGGCAAGTTGACAAATATCACAAGAAAACAAACTTGGACTTTTATTAATAAATAAGTTTGGCAACAACTTCTGAAGATAAATAAAATTTGGATGGCCTAGCCTACGATGCCACAGCATAACATCATTACATGAATCAAAAGGAAATATAAAGTTTTTTTCTACGAAAACAGCTTCATGAGTCACATCCTCCTCAAAGTAGTAAAGTCCACCATCCTCTCTGGCACTGCCAATCATCCTCTCTGAGTCCTGTTCCTGAAAAACACAACCATGTGGAAAGAACTTAGCAAAGCAATGCAACTCAGAGGTGAGCTTGCTAATAGAAATGAGATTACAAGTCAGACAAGGAACATAAAGAACTGATGTCAAAGTAATCAGCTCAGAAAGTTCAATGGTTCCGTGTCCCGCAATCTGGAAAAAACTGCCATCGGCGATCTTGACCCGAGAAGGTTCAGAATATGGAGTGTATGAACAAAACAAACCAAGATTACCTGTCATATGATCAGAGGCTCCAGAATCAAGGATCCAATGATTTTGACTATCAACATGGAAAGCTGTACCTTGCTGGACCACATGACTAGTGGCCTTAGGAGGTTGAGTCAAAAGTCTCTGAAGTTGTTCAAACTTAGTCTTGCTAAGAAAGACACCATCAGAGTAAGAGGAAGAGTGTTTTGAGGAAGCCATGAATAGAAAGAGAAGGGTTGACCGTTGATGAAAAATCAAGTTTTGTAAATTTTTAATCTGACCTCTGGAATAGGAAGGGGAGAAGCCGGCGAGAAGGTTTGTGCAAGTCGCGACGGAAAAAGACGTTGGGAAGGCGGCGCGTGGAGCTCACGCGCCGGAAACTGGCCGCACGTGTGGCGGCGCGTGCGGCGGTTGACGGCGATGGGTCCAGCGGCGGTCGACTCGTGGGATCCTTCTGAGTCGAATGGTCACCTCACTTTCTTGATCGGAGGTCAGTAGACTAGGTTTCTGTGTTGGACAAATTCAAGGAGGTGTTTAGGAGGTGTTTGACGGTGATGGAAGTGTTTGGATGGTTATTTCAGATTTGAATTAGGGTAGGAATGAACCCGCTCTTGATACCATATTGAAAAGAAGTTTTTGTATATTGGTTTTGAATAATTTACATGAGTGAGTATTTATACAAGAAAGAATCGCTAAGAATGACTAAGCGATGACTAATCAATCCTAATCACAATCAATTCTAATCAATCACAATCAATCATAATCAATCCTAATTAATAGGAAATAAAAACGGAAACATGTTTGGATTCTGATTTTCTACAGATTTATATAAGTAAAAATTCAATATTGTATTATATATCGTGGTTTCCTTGTTTTATTAATTGATGTTTGATATCTTGTTTCCCAGTGAAAGCATTTTTATGAAAATAAATAAATAAAAGTCACAATTGCCCAGCTATCGCATTGTAATGCACCAGTTAATTTATGTGATTTGTTTCTCACAGCCAAGTCCTTTCCTTTTATCTGCATGTACAGGTAAAGACTCTTTTGAAGGATCGATTAAATGGAAAAGCAACAGCGGGATCAAATGAGAAGACAGAAACCAGTGCTTCAGTAGAATTAAACTCTCGCAACTTTGATGAATTGGTTCTCAAAAGCAAAGAACTTTGGATTGTGGAATTTTTTGCACCTTGGTAAGTGCTGCCTGTGTTTCAAAATTAAATTTTGGATATCATCATCTATTACCTGACTGAATCTAAACTATTTCTACTTTCAGATTTGTAGCTCTAATAACATCTTTTGTCCTCTTTTATCTTCTCAAAGGTGTGGGCATTGTAAAAAGTTAGCTCCTGAGTGGAAGAAAGCGGCCAATAATTTGAAAGGGAAGGTTAAATTGGGTCATATTGACTGTGATGCTGAAAAGGTAAAGCTTATATGTCTCATAGTTGTCTTATATGGCTGTGGGTAAGATGATCACTTGCTGTCTTTATAATTTATTTATTCTTCTGGATAAGGGTAAGACTCTTAAATGCAGAATTAATTATATAATTTTTTTTATTCTGCTCTTCAGTTTATATTATTTTGACAGGATGTTTTGTTACCAGTCTCTAATGAGCAGGTTCAATGTTCAAGGATTCCCAACAATCTTGGTATTTGGTGCTGATAAAGATAGTCCCATTCCTTATGAGGGTGCAAGAACTGCGTCAGCTATCGAATCATTTGCGTTAGTGCAGCTGGAAGTAAATGTTGCTCCTCCAGAAGTGACAGAGCTACATGGTCCAGTAAGTGTTTGCTCCCCTGCCAACTTTACCTGGTCGTACATTGGTTTGAGAGAGAGGATATAAGATGATTAACATTAGCCTTCTTTATAGGATGTTATTGAAGAGAAATGTGGTTCTGCCGCAATCTGTTTTGTTGCATTCCTTCCTGACATTTTGGATTCCAAGGCTGAGGGGAGAAACAGATACCTTCAGCAGTTATTATCAGTTGCAGAGAAGTTTAAAAGGAGCCCTTACAGGCAAGTAAAAAGAATTTTTTTGCTTAGATTCCATATTTTAATATCACTTGGTGAGTTTATCTCTTCATGTCTAAACTTGTTAAATGCTGCATTATATACATATGATTTAAATAAATCTTTGTTGTCATATTAACATTTTTTTTATTGAATTGTTGTGTCTGGGACAGCTATGTGTGGGTAGCTGCAGGAAAGCAGCCAGATCTTGAGAAGCACGTGGGTGTTGGCGGGTATGGTTATCCAGCTTTAGTGGCCCTGAACCTTAAGAAAGGTGTTTATGCTCCTCTCAAGAGTGCTTTTGAACTCGACCATATTATGTAAGTCTGTTCTTTTAATTTTATGCTAAATAATAGTAAACACACTATTGAAATGAACAAGTTCTTTGAATATTACCGATTTATTTTCTTCAGACAATTTGTGAAAGAAGCTGGACTGGGGGGCAAAGGTAATTTGCCCCTGGAAGGCACTCCTGCAATTGTAAAGACAGAACCATGGGATGGAAAAGATGGAGAAATAATTGAGGAGGATGAATTTTCTCTTGAAGAACTCATGGGAGAAGATGCCTCAAGCAAGGATCAAATATGATAAATCAAGAAGGAAATTGTACAAAATAAAAAAAAAAAGTCTCGAGTCACCACTTACAGGCGAAGTTAGTATCTATATGTCAAAGGAAAATGTGTCTTTCATGATAATTGTGCTCACTGTTCTGTTTTTCCGTGTTCCAAGTCAAAGACCAGTCCAGTGATGAGTGATCTTTTGATGACGTGTTACGTTATTTTCTTTTCCCTATTAATGAACAATCCGTTAACAGGTACAACCATCAGAATTAAGGACCATTGATCTGTCTTTTGTAATTTATTATTAATAGGGTAATGCCATTGAGATCTTTAGAACGTTGCAAATGGATTCATAGTTTGATTATTTGTAGAATTAGGTTATCTGTTAGGTAACCAATGATACACGTTAACTAATAATAATTGACTCATTTACCAATAAGGTGACGTGTTGGAATTAGAAGAAACAATTTCCTTTTTAAAAAACCCCATCCCTAGGATATGCCTATCTGCACAACTCATTTCGCTTGTTGCCAAACAAGCTTACAATTGGAGTGTTCATACCAATAAAGAATAGGCAAGTTCAATGACAAGTGACTGTACACGGGCAACAAAATGTAGTAGTTGCAACATAAAAAGTAATGCGAATCACAACACTTGAATCCATAGCCTAAATGCAACTGGCTTCACTCTATAAGAAAAATTCTATTTCCAAAACTCAAGCCACATGTTTATGCATCCGCCGCATCTAATGTAGGGGTAGCATTACACGTATATATCTACCATTCAATTCATACCCTAGAGCTTCCTATTAATGTAAGGGCAAAAATGGAAACTGGGCTCGGATCAGCACCAATCCCCTCCCCATGTTCGCTTTAAGCGAAAAAGAAAAAGAAAAAGACCATAACTTCTAAGCAAATATTTACGTCAACAAAGTCTTCATGGGGAAGCTTCCTCGTCAGAAAATTTATCAGTACGAATCTGTTTCAAAGCTGCATTTACTTTCTGCCACCATAAATATTGGAGCGGCAGCTCAAACTCACATGCTTTTTGCCTTGGAGGGATCATCTCTGAATTTCTAATCTCTTAACTCCAGTGTGTTCTTCGAGATTTATAAATACGTTTATGAATTTTCTAGGAAGTAAGATGAATCCTAAAAGCTCGCATTTTGTATCCTCCACAAGCAGTCTTTTCTTAAAGGTGAGTCTGTAAATATGGCTTTTATGAAATCTACCACCTGCAAATAGGTCATCAACAGATATGTAAGAAGCATATAGCAAGTGGTGAGAAAGCATGTGAAGAAAACGCTCATCAAATACGGTTCCGATATTTTTTTCTAATCTTGCATAACATGAATCAGAAGACTATAAAGGCAGAGATATCAGATCAGGACATGTAATTTTATCTTTTTATAAAGAAAAAATACTGGTTAATCATACGCAATAACTCATGCAATCAGTTCTTTTTCCTGTCTCACTAGCAATTTGATCCACAAAAACACTTTTTATTTATTTTTTTAAGAAAAAAAAGAGTACTTGATTTGGAAAGAAATGAAAAAACAATCAAATAATCTAAAGGAAAACGAAGAAAAGAACAGGTAATAATAGGTCCCATTTTGTCCAAAAAAAATAAAATAATAATAGGTCCCATCGCACACATATATAGTGAAAATCTGTAATATATATTGAAGCATATGATTAAGTGGGCTTAGGTTTATAAGATTAAGATCGTATAAAATCATAATTCCATGGCAAGTGTTTCAAAACAATTAACAACGGAAATGAAGGAAATAAAATATATTTCCCCAAGAAATAAAGTCATCAATAATCAAACAATACCTCAGTTACCGTAAAGCCACAAGACAGCAATTCATTATTCTCCCAAGATGCAGTAATGGATTTTAAAGGCATATCTAATAATTCTGAGGCACATGAAAGATGAAGAAATTAGCTGTCAACAGATGAGCAAATAATAACCCAACTACCAGCTTCTACAGAAATAATTGAGTATATGACATGACATGCCTGAAAGTTTGCGGATTTTACATAAGGATGGGATGAGATTTTCAAGAGAATCTGCAGAGAACTCAAGCGAATTCTGATCCCCAGTGGACAGGGACTCAAATAAAGATGATAGGTTTTCCAGCATTAAATGAATAAGTCGTTGTAGCTGGAAATACAAGTGGAATGTATTAGACCAACTTCTAAAACACAATGGCACTATTACGAGCATTGATTGATTGACTTATGGTATAGAATCTACCTGTAGAGTCTCCTCTGCAGCTATGTCATCTAAGAGAAGTATATCTCTTGCGATTCTTGAGAAAACTGACTCTAAGACTGTACACATGCTTTTCCTGTAAGTTGAAGGCAGCAAAAGTGGCTCCCATATAATATGTACTTTTTCCAGAATGAAAACAACCTGATCAAGTACATTCAGCTTCATGACATTTGGGAAACTAAAAAGGCATCAACTAATACTAGTAACCTATATAACAACTCCCGCACCCTGTAGCTAGTTTTTTTTTTTTTTTTTTTTGGGGGGGGGGGGGGGGGGGGGGGGATAAAGGAATAAGAGATAAAAAACTATGGGATAACAAATGGCTATGTACGCACATTATAATAACCAGAATATTACCTGGTCTATGCTGAATTTAGCAGACTCAGATTGTTGCACCTGATGAGTATTCTGAAATCCATCAGCACCATCTATAGCCTATAATGCATGGGCAAATATGGGAAAGTACCAGGTCAGTAAGGCAAATGTAAACCACAACTAAGTGATATCCTACAGATGCTGCATGCATTTTAACAAAGGAAGTACCTCCTTCAAGTTATAAATAACACGGTGAACTTGTCTCTGCAGTATTTCTTCTGCTAAAAGCTGAAATCTTGGAGCCAAATCAACAAACACAGCATGCTCCTTCATAGAACTTGGAAAGTCTGTTCGATACTGAGACAACAGCATCCAAATGCATGAGCCAAGAAAAAAGCCAAGATATAAAATAAACGAGGTTTACATTGAATGTTTGCCTTGACTTTTTCATTTGATAAACTAAATGATCAACTGAGACTTTGAGCCCCAATAATGTTCTAAGTACGTGCCACAATCTAATATTAAAATAATCCATTACAAAGATTACATCAAGAAAAAAAAAAAGGAACTGCATTTTAGGTTAAAAATAGTAAATTATTTAAATAGTGAATTTACTTCATCCTTAGTTATTCAAGTATGAATACCTCAAATGCAAACCCAAGTATCTCTTGGGAAAGATACAGACAGTCATTATGAATCAGAACAGCTACTTGGTTGATGCCATCAAGCTGCCTCTCTAGCTTCACAAGTCAAAAACAGACGTTGTTACTGTAAGCCAAAAGTATACACAGACAAAAATGAACACTCAAATACAGTGATCATAAAGAAGATAAATTCTCAGCATAAATTAAGTATTCGGTCATTAATAGCTCATCTCAGCCAAAAATCAGAAAAAGGGATAAACAATAGCGCGAAGGACATTACTCTAGAATAAATAACATGATGTTGGCAATACCCTTGTGTTATTTCATTAAATTCACCCTATGAAATCAATCCCTGATGAAAGAAATACTAAAAAGTAGCATTAAGGCTTTTCCAGTATGCCACTGCCTTACTTGGACTAACCTTGACTGGGACAACTACTTCATATAGAAGTATAGCATCTCTAGCTGCACGATAAAATTCCAAAGCGACTCTTGTAGATGACAGGCAAACATCCTGTCCAAATTATCATTTATGAAGATAAGTTTCATTATTAATATAAAAATGATAGTATGTCAATTAACTGCAAATAATTAAATGAATGTAAACTACATTAAGCGTATCTAAGAGTATGGTTCAAGAATCAAATGATTATCATTCCAGTATCAGTGACATGAAAGAAGCAAAAAATAAATAATTTGTTTTGTCATCTATTGATAAGTTATCAAATAAAATCATTTTAAGCCTTGACAGTGTAACTTCAACAATAAATAAAATTATAAATTTAAAACTCCTCTCTTCAGTGGTGTTAGAGAATAATATAAACCATTAAAAATGCCCTCACCTAACATATTAAGGTTTTGGGTTGAAATGATTCTTTACATGGTATCAGAGCTTCAATGATTACAAGGTCACGAGTTCGATCCTCACCGTCCCACACTTGTGTAATTAAATAAGCATAAGGCAAATCAAAAAATTAAAAAAAAAAAAAAATTAGGACTATGCAATATCCACTCTTCAAGCCCAAAGGGTTCTTACGTGGGGGGGTATGTTAGAGAATAATATAAACTATAAAAAATGCTCTCACCCAGCACCTTAAGGTTTTAGGTTGAAGTGGTTCTTTACAAGTGGTAAATAAAGGTAAAGCCACCAGAAAAGATGTCTCGTACCATTTCCTCTTTTCTTTTCCTTTCTCCAGCACTCCATAAGTAATTCCAGCTTCAATTCCATTAGATTATTTATGTTTCTTTCAACAATCTCAATGTTGTTTGAAAATCACCATATTCAATATACTACTACTAATTGAATAATAAATCATGTCAGTCAATTAGATAATCCATCACATAACAAATCAAATCAAATCTATACCTCAATGGATACTAACATTTTAAAGAATTTAATCATCAAAATGACTATGTTCAGTCTCTATATTCCAAAATGACATCATTGGAGGATAATAGATACGAGGTGAATATGGTCAGAGGGGACATCAGTTTCATGCTAGAGGAAGATCATTAAAACCCTTGATTAAAGTATCAGGTTAGAGACCTTTGGCATAAATCCAATTGTTACAATAATATTCAGTCATTACCCTTAGCTCTGCAGTTCACAGGTCTTTAGTGGTGACCACCACTTCAAGACCCCATTCTAGTATTCTATAACATGTTAGAACTATGCGACAAAAATGATTAATTCTTCTGTATATTTTCCCTTCAATTTATCAGCTGTATAACAAAAAGTAGCAACCGATACAGTTGGGTCATACTGAGAATGTCCTCCATAGGAAATAACAAGATCATGGTTGGGGAACCAGCATAAATCAACTGATTGAAACAGGTATTGCATATTAAAGAAAGTCCTGATCTTGTATTTCAAACAAAATATGCTGCATGGAATCATTTGTAAAATATTCATAATTCTGGATTATATACCTGCAGCGTCTGATGAACTAGCTCCATCAACTGCTTGGCTGCTTTGGATACCAAACACCGTTCTGATAAGAAAAGCAAATCCACAACATGGTTGGATGACTGGATAGAAGTTCCATCATTCTTCCAGATAGAATCATCCCTTGTATACTCCTGCAGCAATGTTCTTCATCAATAACTACAGATCATAATAACAAAAAAGAATTTGCCCAGTCTGGAAACTCACTTGAGGAATGGAAAAGTCACATTCTAGGAGCAAATTTCTAGCTTTAGCCAAGATCTCAGTCTTTTTCTTAAATGCAAAGTGAACCTCAACATTTTCAGCAAAATTGCTAAGCTTGTTATCCTTGTCATCTGATGCTGAAATGAACATAAGCTCTTTCAAAGCTGTCTCAAATTCAGATGTGCATTTGATGATTTTCTGAAAGTCAGGAAGTTTTGATGCATCTGTTGGGACGACCTGAAATCAGACATCTAGGGTGACTATCTGCAAACTTTAAATACTCACTTTCTCTCTGGCTTTTAGACACTGCAACTAACCACCCAATAATTCTCCAAGAACATAATATAGCCACGGATTTGACTAGTTCAGAAAGATCTTATTTTTGTTGGTTGAGATGGCAGAGATCATATGAGCTGGCATAATTACAAGGCAACAGCAGTATTCAATCCAATTTCAACTGAAATCAATGAAATGGTATTTTTACGGATACACATATTCTTAGACTTGTTTCAAAGCATAGGAAGCATAAACACAATCTTTGTTTAATCAAGTTTCTTATAGCATAGAGCTTAAAGGCAAACCTTTGAAAGAAAGCTAGATATTATTAGCTCTGATATCCTTGGCCACATCAACCATCCAAAACATCGGATCCAAGAACTGTTCTGGAAGCAAATACTTTTGTAAATGAATTTGATAAACAGCACAATCCCCGAATATAGGAACTCTCCATCCAAATATTCAAGCTGCAAATTGAAAATCATATATTTAGAAACGGAATAGCAGTCAAGGGACTGTTTGTAAGATATTTTGTTAAGAAAAAAGTTCTTTTTTAATTAAAAATGTTTAAGAATTTTATAATAATAAGTTAAGTTTTTTGATAAAAAAAATTAGTAATTCTCAAAGAAAAGCAATTTTATTGCTTTTCTCATAAGCTAAAAAAAGTAGCTTCTGAAAGAATGCTCTAACAAAAAGTTATGTCATAAAAACGTTTTTTTTTCAAAAGCTTAAAAAAAGGCACCCTAAATGACAATGCTTCCTAGTTTATTCATGAAAATCTTAACTAAAAAATTGAGAATCTAAGAATAAAATCAATAACATATACAATCAAGGACCTCTCCCCCACTGCCTCCCCAGGTGTCTCTGTCATGAAACAGCAAAGCATGAGCAATATAAATTGTTCTAAGACCCTAACACATACCACTCACCTTACTATCCTGTGATGGAACTATCTTTAGTATAGCTGATTCTTGATTCAAGTCCTCTAGAAATGAAAGAGGTCGTCCACGATTTACAAAAGGAGTGATAACATACTTGATCATCAAATCAGCAACTTTTGCAAGCCCGTACTCTAGAATACCAACCACCTAAAAAACTCCATAAATTAGAGGAAGCTCGAATACATACAACTGAGCTCTTCAATTTCTATGTTTAGAACATTACAACTGGAATACAATTGAACATTTCAAACAGAAAGTGTAAAAGTGAGATGAATTTACTTACGTCCATTGCCTCCAGAACTGTTTGTAATGGAATCCCATTCATATTTTCAACTTTTAAATGATACTTGACTTCAACTTGATTCAAGTCCATATCAAATCGCACAGCCTTTTCCATAAACTTCACAAGGACCTCTTGAATCTACAAACCCAAATCGAATTCCTCTAAAAACAATCACAAACTCAATAAAAATCACAAATTATCCAATCATCATTACTATGGAACAATTACAGAAATCACATGAATTGATTATATTGTTAAATATGCCAACGAAAATATAATTCAACCATCTTCATTAAAGCAAATATGAGCTGATTGTCTGGGGAAATGAATTAAGAGTTCCATACACAGTTTCTTATCATACTACTATTATTACATTTAGCAGAAAATTTTCCAAGCAATATACTTGACTGAATTCAAGCCTCATAAGAGATTTCACAGAAACTCCCAGACCAATGGTAAAGAGAAAGTTCAGCCATAAACACACAATAAAGAAGGAAAAAGAAACCGAAGGGGTACTGAGCATTTTGTTTCCAGATAATTCAGTATGTAGCCTTTGTTTGGGGGAAGGACAGAATCAAAAAAATAAAATAAAAAATGTACAAAGCCATGAATCATGTCATTGTTTATTGCAAATTTTCATGAACCAACCCTAAATTCTATTCTTTCTACCTGTCCATACACATTTGGAAATTCTCTTATAACCATTCCAATACGAATTCCCAATTACACAATCCTTCAGAAAGCCATAAGATTTAAAGTGAACAAAGAATTTAACTAAATTAAGGCAATTTAATGTGAGTTTTTTCTTTTATTTTTCAAATTGTAGTATTTTTATCCTGATTGAATCCAGGATATAATAATAGAAATTAAAAATTATCCAATATATCTCTTCCATGGCTAGATTGAAAATACGGATTTTGCTAGAACCCAACAATGTCAATCAACCCGTGTAGCCAAATCCACCTAGTAGGATAAGCCTTGGTTGTCAATGCATTTCAAATTATTACTTATTACCAATACCTATTCCAGCATACACATTCTGAAACGCTTCAATTCAATTCATAAATACAAATATATTCAAAGCATCACACCCACGCATTGCCATGTAAAAATTTCAATCACATTGAGAAAGACAAAAAAAGACTTCATGAGAAAAAAAATTGATAAATAAGAAAGCCGAGTAGTACCTCTTCGAAACACTGAGACCACTCCTCCTTCAACAAACCATACACCAATGGCTCCCTATCATCATCATCACCAATCCTCAACGCCAGTTTCAACTCCTTCAACCCTTGAGCAGCAAATTGGAACCTTCCACTCTTCAACCCTTCCCTCACACTCTCCAACTTCTCGTTCAATTCCACAATGGTCCCCACCAACCCCAGAAGCTCCCTCTTGACCTTCAACTCCTCCCTCTTCCCCTTCATCTCCTCCAACACCTCGCGCACCTCCGCATCTATCGGGCGGTCGGAGAGCAGCCGCAGGATGCCGGAGACATCGTCGGAGACCCGGTGCGTCTGCGAAACGGCGTCGTTGCAGAGGGAGAAGAGGCTGGCGAAGTCGTCGCGGTGCGAGACGAGGTACGACTGCACCTGTGATCGGATCTGGAGGGAATGAGACTCGAGACGCTGGATCAGGAGGCGGAGATCCGGCGCGGAGAGAGGGGAATTCGGGTCGGAGAGATCTTGCGCCGAGAGAAGATCTCGAACGTTTATCGTGTCGAACAGAGACTCCATCGGACGGTGGTCGCGGTGGCTGAGACAGCGGAGATAGCTAACGTGCGCTTGGAGTGTCGTTGAGAGTGATCTGACAATAGCGTTTGGACTCTATGGACTTTTAGGGGTGTGTGCCTCTTGTTATGACCCGAACCGACCCGACCCAGTTTGGAAAATGGAGTTGAATTCTAAAAAATGCAAATATTGAGATACGGTTTAGTGACATAAAAGTGATTAACTTAAGTAATAATTACTGGAAAAGTTATATTTACTGATAATTTAGATTTATTATTCTTATTATCTGTTTAATTATTATTGAATTAATTTGAAATTAAGGGTTGAAAAAAATTAAAAATTAAATTTTTATATTAAAACTTCACACGAAAGAATCATGCCCAATTTTTGTGTCTATTTTTTATTAATAATAAATTATGATTAAACTCTAATAATGTGAATTTTGAACCTGAAAAGATCCACTCTAAAAAAATTACAAACTAATTCTAAGTGAAGAGTGGATCAATGATTAATGTTTTATATCCTCTCCGAAATGATATGGATGGAAATTAAATCCAAATCCTTCCTCCTTTACTCATCTATCTTACACCAACTGGTTTACGGCAAATTAGCTGCAATTAATTTTGAATTAATTCAACCGCGGGTAAGAATTGTAAGCGGTAAGATTAATGGAAAGCGTCACCGCCGATAATTATTTGTGTTATTAATTATTTGATTTTCATAACCTAAAAGCTCACACATTAACTCCTATCATTAAGAGCAAGGGGCTTCAGTGTTCTCTCAAATGATTTCTCAACTGAATCGAAATAGCTTCTTCCTTTTCCACCCTGCCGTGCATCGAAAACCTGTCGCAACACGAAACCCATTTTCTGTATCTCTCAAAGTTGGAAACTTTCGCGGTTCCGAGGCTACCCGTGTTCCCAGTTTTTCTCCAGTGAGTTCTATTCGGTCTAGGCGACGGGTGTCTCGGGTTGTGAGGACTGAAGCGCAGAATGTTCTGTTTGATTACCTGCATTCAACTCGGGGTTACACCTTCTTGGACGCTGAGTTCGTGAGCAAGAACTCGCCGCGTTTCGTTGAAGGCTTGGCGTCAAAGATTGATGGAGAGAATGATGATGACGATGTTGCTCGATCGTTAAGGAAGTTCTTGAGGTACAATCCCATCAATGAGTTTGAACCATTTTTTGAGAGTTTGGGGATTAGCCCTTCTGAGTTGCCTTTGGTTCTACCTCCTGGGATGATTTTTTTGGCTGATGATTGTGTGTTGCTTGAAAATTTTCATGCTTTGTGTAATTATGGGATCCCGAGAAATAGAATGGGGAAAATTTATAAGGAAGCAAAAGAGATTTTTGGGTATGCTAGTGGATTGTTGTTGTCAAAATTTCGAGCTTACGAAAATTTGGGTTTGAGTAGATCAACCGTCATCAAGCTTGCTGTTTGTTGCCCTTCACTTTTGGTTGGTGATATCAATTGTGAATTTGTTAGCGTACTTGATTGGTTGAAAAAACTTGGGATTGAAAATGATTGGATTGTGAATTACTTGTCTTGTTCAAGAACATATAATTGGAAGAGAATGCTGGATGCCGTGCAATTTCTTCATAAAGTGGGCTATTCTGAGGAACAGATGCACAATTTGTTTAAGGAAAATCCTAAAATATTGTTGGAAGGTTTTGAGAAGGAGCAGTACTTATTTTTTGGTCGATCACTTAAGTTGGGTGTCAAGATGAACGTGATTTATTCTTATTTTATTGAGTATCCCCATATCTTGTCAAGTAAGTGTGCAAAAAATCTGTTGGGAGTGGTTGATTTTTTGTATGTTATTGGAATGGGAACAGATGACATTACACACATTTTGTCTAAGCACATGCATCTCCTGAGCTCACATCCCTTGAAAGGTCCTAAAACTGTTTGTAAGGAGTTAAAAGTTGAAAAAGCTAATTTATGTGAAATCATAAAGGATGATCCATTGAAGCTAATTAGTTTGGGTTCAAAACTGGAACAGAAGAGCGCTGAACGGTTATCCGGTCATGACCCACGTAAATATTTGGAAAAAACAACTTTCTTGCTGAAACTGGGTTATACAGAGAACTCTGAGGAGATGGCAAAAGCATTAAAAATGTTCCGAGGGAGAGGTGATCAATTACAAGAGAGGTTTGATTGCCTGGTAGAAGCTGGTTTGGACTATAACAGTGTGATCGAAATGGTAAAACGAACTCCTATGATTTTAAACCAGAAGAGAATTGTAATTGGAAAGAAGATTGATTTCTTAAGGAATGTTTTAGGTTATCCATTAGAATGTCTTGTGGGATACCCATCATACTTTTGCCATGATTTGGAGAAAATTAGTGAAAGATTTTCAATGTATGCATGGCTGAAGGAGAGGAATGCAGTAAATCCTACGGTTACCTTGAGCACCATAGTTTCAGCCAATGATAAACGGTTTGTAAAATACTTTGTGAATGTGCATCCTGAAGGTCCAACTATCTGGAAAGGTCTTAAAAGGTTATCAAATAAAAATAAGAACTAACAGCTTCTTATTTGTATATGAGTTTTGTTGAGATGAATATTTGCCTTACTAACTCTTTTTACCCAAAATGCCTTGCTTTTTTTTTTTTTAAGATAGGAAATTCCTTTCAAATGAATAGGCAGTCTATTTGCTCCACATCAAAAATTTTATTATTGAATATTGTCTCTCTATTGTTTTTTTGTTTTAACAGCTACCTCTGGTCATACGTCATACCAAGGTCAGGAAAGTATTGGAAGCAATTAGCTAGTTGCATAAAGTTTTAGGGGGCGTTTGGTACAAGTATTTCAAAATTTGGTAAATGCGATTATCATGTTTGGTAGAAGGAATAAAAATCAGTTCCCGGATATCCAAGGATTACCGGTAATTTGATTTAAAAAGAAAAGCCACTATTCAAATTACCAAAAATAATATGGTAATTCAGAATACCAAGTAAAGGAAAAGCACAACAATAATTTTTGAGACAAAAATACCCCAACACACATAAAAACCTAGACCCAATCTATCAATTACAAAAGTTAAAAATAGTTTAGAGTTATTTTTGTAAAATAACCTCATATTTCAAGTTATATTTCGTTTTAAATCAAACATGGAATCAGTAATTTTTACCCAATATTTCTAGTAATATTTTGACGAACCAAACACCTTTTTCGTAAGATTCCAAGTAAACTCAATTTCTATTGTATTTCCATTAATCATGATTTTCGGATACCAAAAAATTTCTCTTGTACCAAACACACCTAAGTAAATCAATCAAGTATCTATCCTCAAGTAGATTCTGACTATAAGAAATAGTCTTTATACTAATCAATTATGGAAAACAAGTTGCGTAAATGATGAAATCAACAAGCAAAAACAAAAAAAAAAAACAAATTATAAGAAATCATCAAAGAGGATAGGCTTTATTATCTTTAGTGGGACAATCTTTTGGTACCATAGCAGTTAATTGCATCGCAATAGCATCGCGAGCCACGCAATAGCGGCCATTGCGATCGCATTTGCGGCTAAATCACATCCATATTGTTGTCATAAAGCAAAATATTAATTTTGTCCACAATTTAAATGTGTAACAGAAATTTTTTAAGAATTTTTTAGTCTATCTGCATATTTCTCTATCACTTTTGCTGTCTCTGTCTTTAAAAGTTGTTTCTTTTGTCATTGTTTTTGTCATATATTTATTCTGCTATTTTGGTAATCGTAACTTGCTATAACGTTTTTTGGAGTTAGCCGTGATATGCCGCAATCAACATTTGATAACTTTGTTTGACATTGAGATGTATCTTTAGATCTTCAGATATTAATGTTAGTTTATCGTTATAACTTTTCAATCACCCTTTGCTTTGTTTATAGTTTTGCATATACTACTACTTGAGTTAGTTTATTTTGACAAAAACTTTTCGTTCGGTCCAAAATGTGATCCAGTAAGTTTATTTAGTTCTTTAATTTGCCTGGTTTTTATAGTATAGAGTTATGGAAACTAGAAATATGTTATTGCAAATTAAATCTTTATATTTATAGCGTGCTTGGCTTTAGCCTGAAGCCATGCATGTTCTTTTTGTTTTAGCCTTGAGACTACTTGAATGTTTGTAATAATTGACACAATTTAGGCCTATTCGGTGGAGTTCCATTTATGAAGCATACATCGTTTGCTTCTAAACCTGATTGTAAAAAATATAAATTTTTTTCTTTGCCCGTAATGTAACACGTTCAAACTATATCCAAATAGCAGAAACTTTTGTGCAAGTCTTCTCCACAGACTCAACTCAAGACCATGTTCCTTGCCTAGTTCGTTGGGGATGGATTAAGACGAATGTATTGCAATTATTCCCATTGTATCAATCATGCACATTTAAATTGATATAGGAACTAATTATGAGTATCAAGAGAGTAAAACACCCAACTGCATATAAGATTTGAATAAAAAATTGTTTACGTCATTCAAATACTGAATTCCGTGTTGTAAGCATCCTCTTTCCTTTTCATCTCTTGCAGGCAGTCAATATTGTAACTCAGAAGTCAGAACCACGTAACAAAAATGAAAGTACATGAGAGTAAAAACTCAAGATCAGGAATTGCAAATTGAGTAATATATCATCACATTCTTATATCACAAATCACAACCAAAGCCACAATTTCCTTGCAATAAGAACACAGAACCAAACCATAAAAGCCTTACAAGTTACGACCACGAAAATAAAATAAAAAATAAAGTAAAAACTCTCTGCCTATAACAGAGGCACTCTCCTCATCCTTCCCACTCTAATAAAAGAAAACATACGCACTGTTTGGTTCTTCAAATTCAACAATCTCAAGCAACCTTAACCTGAATAGTCTTTGGTTTCTTAGGCTCAGGAGGAGGCAATTTTTGCACGGTGACACTGAGCACCCCGTCTTGGCACACAGCAGAGATGGCATCGGTGTTGGAATTCTCGGGAAGCACGAACTTTCGCATAAATTTGTCAACCCTTCTCTCCATTCTCAGATACTTGGCCCCTTCTTTCTCTTCTTCCCTCTTCCTCTCACCGCTTATGAGAAGCACGTTGTCATCTTCCACCTGAACCTTTATGTCCCCAGATTTCAATCCTGGCATGTCGATCACGAACACGTAAGAGTGTGGATATTCTTTCACGTCCGCAGGAGTTGTAGCCATTGCCTTCGCATCCCGAACGTAAGACTGTGTCGGAGCATTCAAAGTCTTGTCGTCTGCTAGGTCCATCATTTGATGCAGAGTGTGGAACAAAGGAGAATCCAAATTCATCACCCTGAAGTCCATGACGCTTTCCTCTGTTTTTTGTTTTTTTGTTACTGTGGGATCTTTCTATGGAGACGCTGGTGGTGAATTTGAGAATTTAAAGGGTGACACGAGTTGAAGGAAGAAGAAGATGGATGATTCTGGAGAAATGAAGCATGTTCTGGAACTTCTAGAAGGTTCGGTTAGAAATTACAGGATCCGAATTCCAAACTGGACTGGACATTACTCGCAAGACATAGCAAGAGAAGAGGACACGTGGCTTATAAGTTATAATTACATAGATTCAACTCTCTTACTGATGTGACGTCGGTTTTTTTTTTTTTTTTTAAATCCACAGTATGATTTTATTTAATAATAGATAAAGTATTACAAAAAGATAATATTAAAGGGCATGTAATTAACATTTTTTCGTAATTAAATTGATCTAAGTTATGAGATAATAAAACAATGGTATTTTAATAACTTGAAGCTTTTAAAATCTTAAACTAATTGAACATCAATTATACTTGTTTTTATATCATAATATGATATAAGGTATCACGCCTTATTCAAATTCTAAACATTTTTTAAAATAATACAATTACTAAATCATGTGTATTTATCTATCTAATAAAATAAACATTTCATTTAAATAAGTTAAAATATAACACAAAATTATAACTTTTTTTTAATTTTATGTAACACAAAAAAAAGAGTTACTAGTGAAATTTTTGCGTGAGGTAAAGCAAAATTAATTTGAACACGCATCAACAATTGGGATAATTTCCCTAATTGTTGACTCATTATTCATTCACAAACCAGAGTATTTCCCGCAGTTTACACTCTTCTCTTTCCATCACCATGGCAGCCACTCTAATTTCTTATATAAAATTTACGTTGTTCGTCATTTTCTTGTATTCTAATTCTTCAAGCAAGAGCTCTTTGTCGTGCTCGTACCCCTTAATCCCCTATCTGCAAAAGGGTACGCTTCAAAACATCTGAAATGATTTCCCAGCTCCATCAAAATCACCACCTCTTTCTTCCCTTCCCTTCAATATATAAAAAATCCCTTGGAACACAGAACCCATTTTCTGTCTTTTTCAAAGTTCCAAGCTTTCGCATTTCTAAGGCTACCCATGTTCTTCAAGTTTCTCCAATGTATTCTATTCAGTCATCCAATTCTGCGAGACGAGTGTCTCGGTTAGCGATGGCCAAAGTGCAGGATGTACTGCTAGATTACCTGCATGCAAGTAGGGGTTACAGCTTCATGGATGCTAAGTTCATTAGCAAGAACTCACCCCATTTCGTTCACGGTTTGGTGTCAGAGTTCCATGGACAGGATGATGATGTTGCCAGGTGTTTAACGAAGCTCCTGAGGTACAACCCCATTAATGAATTTGAACCATTTTTTGAGAGTTTGAGGATAAGCCCTTGTGAGTTGCCTTTGTTTCTCCCACATGGCATGATGTATTTGTCTGATGATTATGTTTTACTTTAACGATTTTCATGCTTTGACTAATTATGGGATTCCAAGAAATAGAATAGGGAGAATTTATAAGGAAGCAAAAGAGATTTTTGCGTATCCTAGTGGATTGTTGTCATTGAAATTTCGAGCTTATGAAAATTTAGATTTGAGTCGATCAACGGTCATCAAGCTGCTTGTTTGTTGCCCTTCACTTTTGATTGGTGAAACAAGCAGTGAATTAGTATTGTTCTTGATTGGTTGACGAAAATTGGCATTGGACGTGATTGGATTGAGAATTACTTGTCTTGTTCAGAAACATATAACCCGAAAAGAATGCTTGATGCTATGCAATTTCTTCATAAAGTGGGCTATTCAGAGAAACAGATGCTCAACTTGTTCAAGTTAAACCTGCTTTATTATTGGAAGGTCTTGGGAAGAAGGTGCATGCATTTTTGGGTCTATCACATAAGTTAGTTCTAAAGAAGAATGTGATTTTTTATTGAATACCCTCATATCTTGTCAAGTAAGTGTGCAAACAATCTTTTGAGAGTGGTTGGCTTTTTGTATTATATTGGAATGGGAACGGATGACATTGCACACATTTTGTCTAACCACATGCATCTTCTGAGCTCACATCCCTTGAAAGGTCCTAAGACTGTTTGTTGGCAGTTAAAAGTTGGAAAAGCTTAGTTATGCCAAATCATAAAGGATGATCCGCTGAATCTGATTGGTTTGGCTTCGAAACTGAAACAGAATAGTTCTGTACAGTTATCTTGTGATGGACCAAGTAAACATTTGGACAAAACAACATTTTTGCTGAAACTGGGATATGCAGAGAACTCTGAGGAGATGGCAAAAGCACAAAAAGGTTCCGAGGGAGAGGTGATCAATTACAGGAGAGGTTTGATTGTCTGGTTGAAGCTGGTTTGGACTATAACATTGCAATCAAAATGGTAAAACTTGCTCCTATACCTGAACAAAGTTTTGATTGAAAAGAAGATTGATTTCTTGAGAAACATTTTAGGTTACCCGTTAGAATGTGTGGTAGCATATCCAGCATACTTATGCTATGACTTGGAGAGAATAATGCTCAGATTCTCAATGTATGCTAGGGTGAAGGAGAGGAAAGCGGCAAAGCCTATGTTGACCTTGGGTACTATCCTTGCATCCTCTGAGGATTAGTTTATAAAATACAATGTGCATCCTGAAGGTCCAATCATCTGGAAAGGTCTAAAGAGGTTATCACCAAAAGATAAGAGTTAACGCTTCCTTGTATTTAAGTTTTGTCAAGATGTCTATTTATCTTAATATATGCTTTGCTCACTCACTTTACCCAAAATGCTTTTTTTTAATTTATTTATTTTTTGAAATAGCAATGCCTTTGCAAATGAATAGGCTGTTGTTTTATGCACAATAAAATTTTTATTTAAATATTTGTTTATCTTTTATTTTCTCTTTACTATTATATGTTTTTTGATTCCTTGATGACTGGTTACACTTTCAATCCGTTGCGTATGATTATGTTTTTTTTTTATGGTACATGTTATGAACCAATTATTTCAAAAGAGTTGTTAGGTTAAGATAAATGAATGGTTTTATACTTTTATAATATCTGCAATGCATTCCATCATACAAGAGTCTTTCGAGTTTGAAATGTGGATAATGTATAGGCTCATCTACCTTGTATTGAAATTCAATTTTTCATTAGAAAAATAGGAGCAGTAAGGATCAAACTTTAGATCACTTGGTCAAAGAGACCCTAATACCATGTCATGAACCAACTCTGTCAAAAGCTTGAGCTATTAGGTAAAGGCACATGAATGGTTGTATACTTATAAAAAGTAGTATGATTTACTTTTACCTTTTTCCTTTAATTTTGGACAATCAATAAACATTGAACAAATCCCAATGAAGAGGCAACCGTTTACATTAGAAATTGTCTGATAAGTGATAAATCTAGTCAGGAAAACAGAAACTGCTTGCTTTTTTAGTTGTATTGTATTGTTTTCATGGTAGTTGAGGTGATGTCCTTCGAGGAAGGCTGCTTTGTCATTTCTTTTATGGGTATGAATCAAAAGTACAAATCCACAACCAGATTCTTACTCTGGGGTAGTCTTTTAGAATATAATCAATGGAAAACAAGCTTCATATATGATGAAATGAACAACCAAAAAGAAGAAATAAATTATATGGAATCATGAAAGAGGATAAGCTTTAATATCTTTAGTGGGAGAATATTTTGGATCTCAGGTGTGGATAGAAAGTTCATTCTCAAGATAATGCCACCCTTTGTATTTATATATGGATCTATGGATATTTACAGTTTAGTTTTTTGGCAGAATCTTTTAGTCAGCCTTTGCTCTCTGTTTCTAGCTCTACTACATTACTACATGATATGATTTCTTCTGATAAAATCGTTTCCTTTGAAATAAAGTGTAATCTAGTTAGTTAGTATGCTTTGTTCTGCAATGTGCCTGGTATATGGTATAATTTTATGGAAAATAGAAAAACTCTATTGCAATTTAAAAAAATTTACATTTCATGCATTGTTATGAAAGCCATGCTTGAGTGCAGCCCTGTGAACATGGCATTTGCAGGTGCCACCCCTTTGCCTCACCTCAGCTGAGTTGAATTGCCTTTTGAGTTTTCATAAGCCACAACAAAGAACTGGCCTTCTGGGTGGCTTTAGGGAGGAATTGAAAGAAGAAAGGCTCTGTCAAGACTTTGTCCAAGCATTCTGCTGAAGAATAGAATTTGTGGTAGCAACACAGCAACTCTAGCTCGCACAGGGCACATGGAGAGAAAAACTCCAGTGCATCCGAACTCGGTGCTCCCTTTTGTTAAAAAGGAAAAAAAAATTCCCTTTTTATCCATTTTTTTTTATATTTTCTTTTAAGTCCTAAATTTTATTTTATTTTAGTAAAAGAGAGCACCGAATTCGGTACTTGCTTCCAGTGGATTGAAGTTTTTCACTCAGATGAAAAAACGAATGTATGGTTTGACATCAAAATTCAGTGTAGATAAAATTTAAGAAGATTTTATCAAACATATCTAAAGTAGGTTTTGCACTTTACACCCTCCAAACCATGGTTTTGAATGTACAGATTCTAAACCCAACATGTTCTGATTGTTCTCCGTATTTAATAGAACAGATATTTCATATATGGAAGGGAGTACTGAGTACATACCTAGAGGAAACCTCATCATGTAAGATAAAAGAAAAGTATGATCGGTAATACTACATATTACTTAAAACAAAACTTTTTATTTTTAATTATAAGCACATTTTATGGTGAATGTGCTGCAGTAACACTTATATATATACACACACATCAAAATGCAACCATTCATAAAAAGCCCAAATGGCATTTTACAGTGAATGTGCAAGCGTGATATATAAGATTACATTACATAAATAAACTTCCACAAGTAGTTTATTATTCTACAAATTGAGCTAAAACGCGCTGCATGACGTATTTTGCAACGATACTATTCGTTTTCTCTGTTGGATGGAAAGCGTCCCAAAACACATACTTGGAAGCATCCGTGCAACTGAACATGTTTCCCCTGCTGCATGCATAACCCATCTCGAACATTCCAGTAGCACAGCAAGCCGTTGACGCTGATTCAAACCCTGTATTGAAAAATATTTGAATTAATGAGCATCATACTTATTACTTTTTATAAAAAAATGAAAATAGAAGAAAAATTAAACAATTTAAATTTTCAAAATTGGGCTTTCATGTTTTTATTACATATTAATTAATATTGCAATGCATCTAAAATAATTTTATGACATGCTCCATACCATATGTGTACTTTTTTTTAATATAATGGTAAAGTAAAAGTGAAGATTCATGTAAATAAAATTAAAGCAAGATATATAAAATATGCACATAATAAATTTTTGGGATAAATATGTTTCTTTAAGAAATAATTTTATTTCGTACATACACATAAAAATATGTGAGGTCCATATTTTTTTTTCTCTGTGGACCCAACACACTTTTATGTATGTAGGAGATAAAATTATCTGCTACAACATGATAAACAATAATCCTTAAATTTTTATGTTGCGTGTCCCACATGCATCAATATGAACCTTTTTTGTTTTGTTGAAACAGATATCTATGGTTTTGTAACATACCATATAGGTCAGGCTTTCTGATGATATGCAACATAACGTAATAGGGATTTGAAAACACCAATTTGATTCCAGGGAGCTGCTGGTTGAGCTTAATGGTCAATTTCTTGAGCTTGTCGTTGAAATCCATTGCTATGGTATTGTAGTTAGAAACACAGTCATTACCACCAATAATGTTAGTGGTTCTCTCCAAAGGCAAGCATCCCATAGGAGGTAATCCACCTAGGGATATCTTGCGAGCACCAACACCATAAAGGTTCTTGATGAAATTCTCAGCTATCCCAGCCAGAAAATTCTGGTACTGTTTTGGTGTGTATTGAGATGCCCTTCCAGGGATGGTGTAATAGTTCTCGAGGAAGTCATTTGTTCCTAGACTCATAAGGTGTAATGCTTCTGATATTGTCTCGTTTGCTTTACTTTCACCAAGATACACACTCAGCTTCTTTTGGTATCCCTTGTAGTACTCTAACTGCTTCCATAATGGTATCACAGACTGCATCCAAAATTTTAATTTGCATAAATTATGTTAGCCTTCTAAGCTTCTTTTAAATTTAAGGTTTTACTAAAGATTAATTTCATTATCAAATAAAAAGGAGATTATTTCAATTTTTATACATTAACATAGATAATAAATATTGTTGAGGTATATAAGGCCTTTGGCACTTCCACCTTTTGAGCTAGCTTTTGGAGTGGTGTATCCCAAGGTTCTTTACATGGTATATGTAAAGAACCTTGGGATACACCACCCCAAAAGCTAGTTCAAAGGGTGGGAGTGCCCAAAGCCTTATATATCTCAACACGCCCACTCACACAATAGCCCTTTGGGCTAGAAGCGTGGAATTGCACAGGCCCAATTTTTTATTTACTTTTTTGTGCTTTTTATTTTAATTCCACTTTAAAATTTAAAGTGAGGGACGGTGAGGATTGAACGTGTGAACTTATAATTACTCAAGGCCTTATATATCTCAACAAATATCACTGATTCAAAAATTGTAAATTTGAGAACAGCAATATTAAGGCCTTAAAAGAACAAACGTAAGCCACTTCAACTAGTTTGAAGAAGAGATGAATTACCAGCACATCTGAAGTTGCATTATCATAACCAGTTGCAGCAGAAGCAAAAGTGACCCCTGTGGCAAAATCTGAAATGTTATACTTAGGATCCAAGTATGCAGGCACAAATTGTTTTATGCCAAAAGCCTCTGATATGAAGTCAGTTGGTATTCTCCCATTGCTGAACCTTCCAGTTGCTTGTTTACCGTCAAAGTCACGTCCATATGGTTGGAAATTGCTCCGAGCAATCGTTGGGATGTAGTTGTTGTTCCCGGCATCCACCGAAGAGTCGCCGAAGACGATCACCGCCGGAACCTTTGCACTAGTCTTGGCCACCAGGGAGAACAATTGAAGCCAAAGGATGCACAAAATATGGGAGCATAGTAGCATCTTTCTATTCCCTTCCATTGTGTGTGTTTAGGGGTAACTTTGGAGGACTGTGCTAAAGGGGTGAACTTGTGATACAATAAATATTGGTTAGGAATATTAATGGAACTTTGATCTTTTTCAAGTTTGGGTGAAGAAGTTGTTGGGAACCATTATTGCTAAGAGGAGTACAGTTATTGTGAACGGGACTTGCATTCGAGCCTTTTTTGTGGTGCAAATGGAAGTTTAGCTTCACTAAATATACGTGTATGTGTGAATGACCGGAAGATAGTATGGACTTTTAGGAGAGTGAAGTGTTTAATTAATGTTGGAATTATTTCTTCATATGACATGAAGAAAAAGATGATACATAGATATTAATTACGGTTTCACAATTTTGATAAGACCCCACTTTGTGTAATATCTTTGTTTTATCTATCTATGTGAAAAACTCATATAAAAAGATCCATTATCATGAAATGTCTAGAATCAGCTAAAATAGAATTTGAGGGAAGAGCTACTTAAGGAGCACATAAATTTACTAAAACTGCTTACCATCACCCCACGTACAATTTACAAAGAGCTCACTTACATGCACTATCTATATATGTCACTATTTACATTGGAGTTAGCACGATTTTTTGATCAAATAAATACCTTTTATATAACAAAAAAATTTATTTAATTCATTTTTCAAAAAATATTCTACACTAATGCAATCGATTTCACATATTAATTGTACGGGACAAAATGTCATCATGTAAGTTTCACATGTTTGTCGTAAAGTCTCATGTTTATAATGCATGCAGGATGTCACGCTGACATTAAATATCTACGATCAATGTGCGAAACTTAAAAGAGTCTCGCATAGTTAATGTATGAGACTTTCATATTGGCATTAAATCTCGCATCATTGATGTGCGAAAATTGTCCCTACAGTTAACCTACGAAATTTATCACATTAATTTGAAATATCTTTTAAAAGATAAATTAAATAAATATTATTTTATGTAAAAAGCTTTTATTTAGTCAAAAAAAAACCGAGATAGCAAGCACTATTAGTTGAATAACAAAGTATTTCTTTTTGGTGTTTTGCAAAAAAAAAAAAAAAAAATTACAAAAAGCAAAAACAAAATTTCCCAACTGATTATATTAAATTTATATGTATTCTGTAGTATGTGCATGTAGAACAAGCTGTCATTGGCTAGCTTGTGCTCGTTACCTATGTAGCACCGACACTGACACGGGACACATGACACGATACGACACGACATTCTGACACGTTAATTCTAAAAAATATTAAATTTCGACACGTTAGGACACATTTTGATATTAAATAATATATTTAATTTATGTAGTATATATTATCTTTAATATTCAATAATTTAACAAATAAATGTATCTAAACTTATAATATTCACAAATTTTGCAAAGAAACATAAGATATTCCAAAAATTTATATTAAACTCAATAAAATGGTAATCGTAATCTAATGAATCTAACAGTTGGAACTAAAAACTCAACGCAATTTAACCTTTGAACCGTTTTTTGAATTTCAATAACGCGTGTTGGAGTGTCGGGTGTCTGAGAGTGTCGGATAATGTCGGACACGACACGTCAGGGTTTTTGAAGTGTCGGTGCTTCATAGCTCATTACAGTATTGCGTTCATGATAATAATGACACTTTTGTCAAGCAAATATTTAATAAACTTATAACAAATACTTCTACTGCTTCTTGCATTCGTGATGTAAATTTTTTTTTTCTCAATTAAAACTAGCTATGCATGAGACTTTCTTATCGCCTGTTAAGTAATAAAATAAAGAAAATACATACATAGGTTGGTCTTTCTTCTATCTTCTTCTTTTGTAAGGAGCAAAATAGAGTGTTTGCGAACACATATCTTTTATTCTCTTTTATATTAAGTTAAAGTTATTAGTTTTTTAACATTAATTTTAAAATGAATATCAATATATATGATCCCAAGTATTAAATATTTAGCAATAACAAAACTTTGCTCAAATAATCAAGACATAATAGTTAATATCTTCAAAATTATCCCACAATAAGGAGGGGAATAGAAACATTTAAGGTATTGTTTACTGTGTGTGTGTGCGTCCTACATTTATAACATATTTAGAAGGGGAAGAATCTGTTTATAATTTTTTTTTATAAATTTTTGCAAATTACACAATGTACTCCCGGAGAATATAGTATAACATAATGTTCTCCTGATGAAAACATAGTATAATTTATAAGAGTTTGTAAACAAAAAGTTTGTAAATATAACCCTCCCATATTTAGAAATGTTTAAATAAAAACTGAATAATTTGTCATGCATCGAAATTCATAATAATATTTTCTTTTTCTTTTTGGCCCTCCTTATATATTGTCTCGCCTAGTTTAAAAGGGTGAACTTTATTGTCAAGTGATGAGTCCCTATTCAATTGATGTAAAGCAGAAGATGACTCACCGCGTGCAAAACCATAAATAAGTCACTACCATTGCATGAATTGATCTTGTGAAGATTGAAGAAATCCGTACATTAATAAATTGGGAGCATGTTTAGTCTACCAAAATCTAGTAAAACTGGTTCTTTTCTGAAGTCTGAACTAAATATCTAGAGTGGAGGTGGTTGTATATAACACCATATGTTTATATCCTTGGAACATGATGGCAATTTTTATGCGCGCATAAAAATTAAAGATGTGGGAGGTCTTTTGCATTCTAACATATCAGGACAAATCTAATTTACATTCAAACACTAAACACTTAATTGTATGAATGAAAACTTGAGTAATTAAATCAAACTTTATTGTTGGCAAACATTAATTTATAATCATTTTATTTATGTAATTAAGGTATTTAATTATCATAAAATTTAACTCAATGAGAGAGGTGTATACTAAATGTTACCCAATATATGAAGCTCAAAGTTAAAAGATTAAGTGCTGGGTTGCCATGGAACTGACTAAGAAGATTTACAGATGTTTGATGAAAGCAGCTAGCTAAGTAAGTGACGACATTTAGAGACATGTTATGTCCATTAATGTGGAATTTCCTTAGATACTTGAGTTCAACTAAAACATTGGAACGAACTAGATTTAGAAATTTAACACAGAATTAGTCTATATCAGTATCACTAATTAATTATTTAACAGTTTTTCTTGTCGGATTCATGTTAAATTAGATTAGCGAATGAAATCATGTTGATATTTATAACCAATTTTGGTAAATTAAATTTTTATTTTTATTACAGTGACATTCTAGATAATAAAATAAAAAATAAAGAATATCTTGGACTAATTATTTTTTAAAAATTATGTACATTTTTTTTTTTTTTTTTGCCTTGATCGTGTGTCATAAACTTAATCAACCTGAGTAGATTGAATGTATGTGAAATATTTTTAAAATAAAGTATTAGTTGCTTTAATTATATAAATTAACAATAAATACAATAATTTAGAATTAAGTATGAATATGGGTTGAATGAATCACGAAAAATAATATCAAGATGAGACATATATAGAAGAAAAATGCTTCCAATCACACAGATAATAGTAAGAGCCATGTTTGACTGATTCCTATCACCAACAACCACCAAAAATAATTAATTAGTCAGTCACGTAGTTGCAACCGCACAAGAAGGGACAGGTTACTGAGCTCATGGCCTAAGCCATTTATTGAATGCTCCCCAACGGGAAAGGTGGTGATGCGATTTATGTGTATTGCCCAATAAATGAGACCTTGTTTTCTGTTCTCACAAAAGAAACCATTAAGTGTGCCATAAGTCATCAGTGTGCAGGATCTTTTCTCTATCTCTAACTACTCAAGAAGAGTATGATATTTTTTATTTGGAGAATTTTTTCAATACTCACGTCCCACCAAGTTGAATCAATGCTGGTAGAGTAACGTATGGTATCAGAGAAAAAACACTGTGATCAGCACATGTGTCTGATTGTGAGTGGAGGGAGTACCTACTACGATAGTACTTAAATTGAGCTCCCATTTGTGGCCAGGCTAACCATAGCTTTAATCAATTCGTGAACATATTGTGTGTACACCGAATTGATCTTAGACTATTTATTTTGAAGAAATTGCAAATCAAAATTCGCTTAAATACTTGAAATTGGGTTATGTTAAAGATAAGGGAAATTGTTTTCTTATGTTACAAAAGATAACAAAAATTTTCTACACAGACATATAGAGGAGAGATGAGAGAGAATATGAGAGAAAAAAATATATAAATAAGTTTCATTTCTTTATTTGTGAGTGTAGGAAAGTATTTTTATCTTATGTAACATAAGAAAACAATTTCCCTTAAAGATAAAGGTCATGATATTCGCACACACAAAAATAAAAGGTCCTATGTTAAGTTGGTAACTTAAAAGGGCCTATAGCCTTTGTTGGGGTTAACGGGTAGGTTCTTTTTTATATAGACTCTTTCCAACAGCTTTGTGTAAAATTTTCAATTTTTCTTGTTTTTCGAAGCTTTGCATTTATTTTCTTTATTATTAATTTTTTTAAAAGCTTTGCATTTCTTTAATTTACTTTGTTGTTGGACCAAGAATGGCCGGCTAACAGACTCGAAATTAATTACTAGTTAGTCTATGTATTGACATTTTAAAAACTCTTGACATGTTGTGTTTGACACTTTGGCACTTTGACATATCAACACGCGAAGTAGAGATTCAAAAAAAAATTCAAAGATTGTGTTGCGTTGCGTTTATAGCTCCAATTAATAGATTTGTTGGATTACAATTACTATTTTATTAAGTTTAATATAAATATCTGGGATATCTTATTTTTCTTAGCAAAATTGATGGGTATTATAAGTCTAACTTTATTTTTTTGTTAAATTATTGAATATTAAATATAATATACATTACATAAATTAAAAATATTATTTAATATCAAAATGTATGTCAAAATTTAATATTTTTTTAAAATTAACGTGTTGAAATATATCACATTGTATCTCATTTCATATCTCATGTCGGTATCGGTACAAGATAAATCCTCCGGATATATGTTTAGCAAGAACCAGTTTTTTCTTTTCTTTTCTTTTTAAAAAGAATATTGGTACAGTACTAA